CTATATCCTATAGTTTGTGCTGCCTATTTTTCTAGTATTTTTTTGTCTTCTAAGGTAAATAGTTGTCTATATTTGCTAAATCCCGCTCGTAGCTCTATATAGTCTGCCTCTTACAGAAATTTTAAATATGCTATATATTCTGCTATGCAGCATTTATCTCCTAGGTATTAATTTTGCAGGATCTCTTTCCTAAGCAAGGGTCCTGCTGTTAGTTTTCTAACTTGTCTTCTTCCTCTATTTTATCTCTATCTTCTAGCTTTAGATCTAAGGCTATAAAGACCGTATTCCTTTCCCTATCTAAGGATAGCACCTAGCAGGTAACCCTCCTGTAGATATTGTACTAAATAGCCAGCCTAGCAGAGGTACACTATGGCCCTCCTAATATAGCTAAGCAGGTTAGGTTTGTAATTACCCTAAAATAAGTTAGGGTCTCCACCTCCCCTATACGTACTAGCACATTCTACGTGGTTCCTATAAATAGGTCTATCCCGCTGTTAGCTATGACTACCCCCTGCGTATGCCCTAGGGTCTAGGTTAGTGTCTTAATAGGTACCTGTAACGCCCGCGCAGCACTTAATCTTAAGAGATTTATTTATGCCCCTATATTAATTAGGCAGTTTACTGCGTTCCCCCTTATACTAGTCTAGCAGGTTAGTAGTTCTATATAGAGAGTTGTCTAATTTAATTCCTAGTTAGTGCAAGACTTGTCTTTCTCTTCTTGTATAACTAAATCTTTTCTATACCTATCTAAGTTTTGTCTAAATTAGAGCCTTACTTAAGTATTAAGTACTTCTAGCATTGCGCGCATATTGCGCTAACCTAGCGCGGGGTCCTTTACCTCTAGCTCCTCTAATTAGTTAACACATCTAAAGGGTAAAATTAGCGCACCCTTTAGATACCTATTTAGGACTAGCGCACTTTCTAGGCCCCCTAGCTCTACTATGTTTACCCCGCCAAAGTTATTATCTAGCAGGACTTAAGTCTAGGGTTCTTATAATAACGTCTTGATTTGTTCCTATAGATAGTCTTGCCCTAGTAGGTTAGCCACTGCAATTCCCCAGACTTCCTGTCTAAGAAAAGCAGCTGCTATTTGGTTTAGGCTTGGGCGCATTATTCCCTTAAGCTCCTTATTCTTTACTTCTTTAAACTATACTTTTCTTCTTGTTACTAGCAGGTCCTAGTCAGGCCCTAAATTCGCATAGCCTTTACCCGCATTATCTAGTGGTTGGATTATCGCGAAGGGGTCTGTATAGGCCTAAGCTAGGTATAGAATCTCTAGGGTCTCTTTAAGTTCTATCTCCTTACTTACCCCCTCTTCTTGGTTTACTAGGTTTTGTGTTGGTCTTCCTCGCCCGCGCTTCTAGATTAATCCTGTCCTTACTTCCTCTAAGACTTGGTCCCTTCACTTTTCTTTCTCCCTTGTGGAGGCGTGGATCCTAGGTGTATTCTTGTCTGCTAATCCTAGGATAATATATCTTAAGTCTACATAATCTAGCGTTATTACTACTAGGTCTTCCTTGCTAGTTTATAGCATTTAATAGTTTAAGAACTGCTTATATTCTTTTTAAGTATCTCCTAGTTCTAATCCTTAATTCTAGGAAGATATCGCGTTAGCTCCCGCTCTTTTTGCTGCTAGATAGTCTAGTCCCTAAGTCCGCCTCTACTGCTAGCCTCTTGAATCTATTCTATTAAATAGTTCTAGCTTAACCTATAACGCTAGCTAGCTAAGGATATCCTTAGTAACTTTATAGTATTCACGTAACTTTTTCTTTATCTAATAAAGAGTAAGGTTCTATAGTGCTAGCTTAGTAACCTGCCCTAGTCTTTTATATAATAGTCTGTAGTAAAATATCCTAGTCCTTATTTCTAGATTCTAGGAAGTGCTTACCTACCCTAGCGCCATAAGTTCTAGCTAGGGGGGGCAGTCCCTTACTAGGTAGGATTCTAATCTACACATGTTACAGGTAGGTGGTTTCTTGTTATACCCCCTGTAACTCTATAGCCCTAGCTAAGTGGTTAACGTTTGCATAGGGCCCTAGGTTCTTAGCTAGTTTATTAGTAACCCCCTAATTGCTGCAGCATTCTAACGCATTCCTTGCTCTATCCTAGCGTTAGTTATATGTGAAATAAAGTAGAGCTAGTTTACTAGGCTTTTTAGTAGCAGGCCTATTACGTGGTGTTCCTATAGCCTGTTAGCCTTAGCTAAACTTATCTTTATTTTTCCTAGTGCCCTAATTAACTAGTCTATTTCTAGGTTAACGTTTAGTGGTAGTTAGGTAGTGGCTTGCTCCTTTCTAACGCCTTTCGCTGCCTCTATAATATCCTCCTTTATAGGTATAGTTTTTGCTAACTCTAATATCTAATATGCCTGCTAAGCATCTTCCTCTATTTAGCTAGCTAATATATGTTTTATTCCTTCTCTTTGCTAATAGATTCTTTTAACGTAGGCATAGATCTTCTCTAGCTTATAGCTTGCTACCTTATCGCTATTAGGCCCTCCTAGCATACTAAGCAAGACTAGCTCTTTATCTACCTAGGGTAACCCTCTAAAGAAAAAGAATCTAACCTCGCTTTCGTGTAGCTATTTAGATACTAGGCAGGCATCGCTATACACCACAAAATTAGTATAGTAGTCTAAGAGACCTAGGAAGTTCCTAGAGGCTTCTTGTACATACGCATCTAGGAAGGTTTAGGTACCTATCCTTTAGGCTGTATCCTAGTCCCTCTAGTGCTCCTTTATAGCTTCCTGCAGCTCCTCCTAGTCTTGCTTCTAGTAGGGTCTAAGCTTCTTTACAAATGTTCTATATATAGCATTACAAAAGTCTAGCAGAATTTTTAGCTAATCTACTTCACCTAGCCCCCTATTTTCCGCCTAGCGGTTATAGTTATCTAGGAATTCTATAACCTCCCTCCCCTAGAACTAAAAGTTAGTTTTCCTAGGCCTTATAGGGACAAGGACTCTTCTTAGGGGTCTAGAGGTTTCTATTTTAGTCGACCCTAGGGTAATGTTGCTTTCTCTAGGCATTGTTCCTAGTAAAAAGGATAGGCTTAGTTAAGGTGGTGGGCTTCTATAAACGTTAAAGGAGGTGTATAAACCTGTGATGTTGATTGAAATTATTAGACAAGTTAGCATCTGCTTGCTTATGTCACTTCCCCCCTTTCCTATCTCTTACTTTTATAGACTACATTTATTTTTAGTAGATTCTTGTTGCGTTAGCAACTTTAGCCTAGCCCTATTTTCCTGCTAACAGCGCACACCATCCTGTGGCCTTTGCTATTGCTTTTCTATTAGTAGCAATATTCTAGGTGTTCTAGCACTTCTAGTATTACTAATGCTTCTTGTAGTTCTAATTATTCTAATAGTTCTAGTCGTTCTAGTTCTAGTTATTCTAGTCGTTCTAGTTCTAGTTATTCTAGTTGTTCTAGTTCTAGTTATTCTAGTCGTTCTAGTTCTAGTTATTCTAGTTGTTCTGGTTCTGGTCATTCTGGTTGTTCTAGTTATTCTAGTTCTAGTTATTCTAGTTATTCTAGTTGTTCTAGTTATTCTATTTCTAATTCTAGTTCTAGTTGTTCTAGTTCTAGTTATTCTAGTTGTTCTAGTGTTTCTAATATTTTCTAGTTAGCCTCTTAGTGTTATTACTCTATCCCTACTAACGCGCGTTAGCCACGTCCTAATATAGGCCCACTATTTTGGCCTTAACAATGTTAATTATTAACACCACCTATTTTTTAATTTTTCTCTGCCCTCCTTATACTTAGAGGAACGTCCTCTTGGTTGCATGCTGCTAGGCCCTCCCCTTCACTAAGATAAGATGAGTTCCCCTTGGGCTTCGCCATTTAAACTAACAGGGAGAGTAACCTATTTAAACAAGGAGAAGTAGGAGGGGCAAGATTTAATAGTAGTAATCCTATAGTGGAGGATATAGGTTTAATGCAGAAACATGAGTGAAAAGATAATATTGTAGAGTTAAAGTGAAGTACCTAGGAGTTATTATTGTCCTATCCTCTGATCCTTCATGCCTTTATACTATTTAATCTACCTAACCTTTTAGGCTAAGCCTTGTTTTCCTCCTATACATTCCTTACCACGGCACAGTAGTTACAAGAACACTTATATATTAAAAATATAACGTTTAAGAGGAAATATCTTATATTAGTAGGGAAAGGTTTTTAGTTTTTATAAGAAATAGCATTTAGGTCTAGTATTATAGGAGATAGGTTTTAGGTAGGGTGTATAGTAAATAGGTTTTAGCTATATAAGCTTTTAATTTTCCTTGCATAGTTATTTCCTACTAGACGCTAGTAGTGTATTGTCCTCTTTAAAGCTTATTTCCTAGTAGGAAGCGACTTTCCTACAATATGTAGAATTTAATTTCTGCAAGCGTGTTATTAATAGGTGCTATAGTTGTTAAGAAATTTAGTGTTGAAAATTTAGTGATTTTGGTGTTAGTGGGCGCTTGGTGGTGGATCACGTTAATTATCTCCCTAGCAATACTTTCGTCGCTTGCAAACTCCTACACGCCTACTACTCCCCTCTGTCTACACTTACCATCGATGCGCCGTTACAAAATGCCGGCCACGGGATAGGCGTTGCGCATTTCCTCCCTGAATTCGAGCCGTAGCTTGCGGCAAATCCTGACGTCTAACTAACAGCAATACTAGGTGGTCGTTCCTATACCTCCCTCTGCTCCCCGTTCGAGATCGCTAATCTCCTACGCCCGCTCCCATCGTCGTGGCCAAACGCGCTTATTACATACAAGCGTGTCTGCACAGTCTAATGGCACTTATCGAACCTAGTAAATTGCTTGATTTGTGCAATCTCAAATCATAGACTTCGCTAAAGTAACTTGTCACCTGAGGACCGTGAGGGGAAGGGTGTGAGGTAGGTGGCGGTAGTGAACAACACGCTGCGCTCGCAGGCCAGCTAATTAGGCCGTGTTTGAACAATTGTATTCTCACGGTAAAACCTCGTGAGCTTCGTTCAATAGTGATCTATCTAACTAGGTGCTCCAAGCGTGGACTTGCATTTCTGCTTTAAGAGCTACAACGACATCCTTCGCAGTATCGAAGCGGCGCTCAATGCAGCAGCCAGCGATAACCTCTCCAAACTGCACATTAATCAGCTCCGGGAATTCACCGTTGCCGAACCGTTGCCGCACGAATTCTTCATAGAGATACCTCTCCTCCCCCTGGGGGGCTTTGCCTTCGCGGAAAGGGTAATGGCCGGTGATCACGATATAAATGACAATGCCGAGACTGAAAACGTCTACCTTTGGCGAATCAAACTCTTTCAATTGTGGGTCGCGAAATGGATCATCAGGGATCAGGCCACCGTCCAAGTTTAACTCGCGGCATTTGGAGCCACCAAAGTCTGCAAGAATGAGATTTGTTGTCTGGCCAAGATTGTGCAAAAGTACATTCGTAGTGCTGACATTTGCGTGGACAACACCTTTTGAATGGACGTAAGCCAGGGCTTCGGCGCATTGGAGGCTCCATTGTTTTCGCACATAGCCTGGAATTGTGGCGTTGTTCTTATCGATGTACGACTGAAGGTCTCCAAGATTTGCTTCCTCAAGCAGCAGTCCGTCCTCCATGGAGGGAGTCGTCTTGAACAGTCCGTAGCATCTAGTAAGAGGTTAGAATTGCATCGTTGTAGATATGGAAACATACTGAATGATCCCAGGGTGTCCTTGAAGCCTGCGTAGGAGTTTATACTCCACTGCGAAAGCGTTTTGAAACTCATCAAGAAGTGTGTCGCTCACGCTAGTCCGCGGCGATTTCCAAACCAAGCCTTCCTTCACACGATAGACAATAGAGGTACGGCCCTGCCTACTTAGCGTCGTCATAATCAAAAGAGTAGAAACAGTAAGGAGCAATGATTGTAGCTCGAAGGGTCCCGTGGCACAAGAGGGTGGATATAAACAAAGCCTTAGCTTAGCATAGGCTGACTAATTGAAGTCACGTGTATCACAATTCTGCGCATCTCTTTGGACTGTAATGACTGAGATAGTTTCTACACGAAACAAAATCCTCCAGGCAAGATAGCACATCAACTCACTCCATAAGGGATCCATGCTAGCATTGTTAGCTCCACGACGTGGAAATCGTAGCTCGCCTGGTGTGCGCAGACCTCTCACTTGTTTTTGCAGTCGGCTTTGCCACATTTCCCTGCCTTGGTCCCGGAACCTGCGTCCTCTTTAGCGACCTCATGGCCAGCCTTATCTTTGTCGCCGCAATCATTGATGCTTCCAAGTTCGATCGTAACGTCCCCACAGCCTAACCACATGGTTCTGGCTTGATACTGCCAGCACATCTTGACGAGGAAATGCTGAAATGGAGGCTGCTATAATAGGAGGTGCTGCGGTGCAAGAAGTGATGCTGTTGGCGTTTGAGATCGTGCTGGATATGAATGCCCTTTGGGTCCTTCCACATATATATGTAGGTGTCAAAGAAGCGCTTCCCTATTCGTTCTCCCCCGGTCACCAAATCATCTTCGACCATGGTGAGTCCGTTATTGAGTTGCAGGCTGAAATTGACGCGGGAACGGGACGCGATACTATTGGCTCTGGTACCGGTGAGAAAGTCCTGCAACAGGAAGCATGTAAACGGCTCGTCTGGGAGCAGATCCAAGCACTAGCAGCGGTGGTAACCGCAGTGGAAATCGTTGTGCTAAACGGCAGGCGAGTGAGCTATTGCATCACATATGCGTAGCCTCCACAACAGCATAGGGTAGGAATAGCGAAGCTCGCACTGATTCAAGGTCTAGACTTAGTTCAAGCATGCTTTGGCAAATCAATTACCCCCCAAAAAACGCATACTTATCACAGCTGAGGGCACAAGAGATACGTGGTGGGTTGAAGCTACGCGAGGATTTGATGGCGCGGCAGGGGTCTGTGAGGCGAACGAAAGACCTGTAGGAGGTAGAGTAAAGAGTGGTTCTATGTGCTTATGCATGCTATGATCTCGCCTAGCTGTGTACTGATATTAATGCATACAAGGTGCGCTGTGTCTTGGACTTCGTAAAGGGTGATATGTAGGGAACTTATAGAACCTAGGGAACTTAGGGAACTTAGGAAACATTAGGTGCATTTTCTGCATCTCCTTACAGTCAGCTGCAATGGAAAGCTCCCCAAAACATTCATTTTCAGCATCATTGCCAACCTTGGTCAGAGCCATGAGAGAGAAACCGACGCTCTCGCCGTTTTCCTGTTTGATCGTGTCTCTCAAGATCTGTAGACTAACGCCTGTCAACATGTCCTCTTGAGCCGAGATAGCTGTGCCTCTAGGTATCGGGCCATTACGATCACCGTCTAGCTGTATATAATTGAGGTTGGGCCGGCCTTGACAAAACAGACAAAGTGGAAATCAACCACGTCGTCTGGTGCTGGAGGGCCTGTGTTGCCCCTTGCTGCTGCCGCTGCGTACGATTGTTTGAGTTCTTCAGAGGATTCCAAGAAACGCGTTTTCTCTTCTGGCTTTGTGTCTAGTAATTTGGCTAGGAACGATCCAGGGACTGCCAGGTTTAATGCACGAAGTGGGAATATGGATACAACAGACTTACGAATGAGTGATTTCTTATGCTCGTCCTAGCTATCGATGCTGTTGCAAATGGCATGGAGGATGGCGTAAAGACCGCAAGCATTGTTTATAGTCTGCTTGAACCATACAACCTCACCACCATTGTGCTCCGTGCTTGCTATGATAGCCTCTTCCCTTGCCTTATTTTCTTCATACGCTTTCGACGTTGGGAGGATGAGAATTAGCGACAAAGCTGGATATGGAACCTCGACAGATCCATCAAGCGAGTAGACTTCCTTGAAAACGACTTTGCGAGACGCCCCGAGACTGTGAAGAAGGTCGCTGAAGATCTTAGGGTCCGACTCAAGACGAATGAAATGCGTGGCATATTGGCTTTCGCTCATGCTATACGAAGCGGGGTGCAGGCTGCGAACTTTGCTGCTGGCTATTATTTTATATGTCGCTAGCTTAACGTTATACTGCTTAGTAATTAACATTAACGTCAAAGTTACCCCGTATCATATGCCGAAGTGCGTCGCACTGGGAGCGGCATTGGATTGCCGTAGGAAAGCCTGCTCTGGTCGACATTCGCGCCGTATCGTAACAACAGTTTGGTAGCATCGACCCAGCCATACTTGACCGTCTAGGCCAGAGGGCTTCTACCGCAAGCATCCATCTAATCAATAAGAAATAGAAGGGTACTATAAGCGTTCCACGAGGCTAGGGAGATCTCTAGATTCAAGAGGGTGCATTTAGGATTATCTAATGTAAGAAGGATGTCGTGTACAGTCGTAAACTTTCAAGAATCCTTATGCTTTGTCTAGAGCTCTATCCTATCCAACGAAAATAATGCTGTGATGTCACCAATAGCTAATATGATTGATTGACCATCCATCGCACTTGTGATCAGAGCACTGTCTATTATGCTTATCATAGGGGAGCTAGAGACACTTTAGCAACAGTTTAATACTTCAGAATTATTATGTAGGAACCTATGAATGTTATTAAGCAAATTCGAGTTCGCTCCGCATCAAAGTAAAACTCTACACATTTCAATAGAGGCAGCGCGCACGCAGCTTCGCCAGCAGTAGTAAGTGGCATACTAACAATACGTTAGAGACAATAGATATTTCCCGTTCTTACACTTACATATATCAATCCAAGGCCATACAGATTAACAACATTAATAGACGCTCCACCAGACTTAAGAAATGCTAGCTTGTTATCAATCTCCCTGTTCTAAACATCGATAAGTATCTCGGATTCATATAGAATCTCTTTAGGGAGGCCAAGGAAACACCTGTTCCCTTGCGCTATAATCAATCTAGCATAGTTAGACGCAAAGCCGGTCAAGAACCAAGATGCTCCCAGCATTAGTAAAGATAAATCAACGGTCTGCCGTAGAGATGACTGTTCGTCCCCATTCACATCTACAACCCTTCGCTTAGCTATTCCAAGTAGATGATTGTTGTCTTTCAACGGCCGTTTCTGTGCGCTTTTCCACGGATCCACACCAACGGCGGCTCCGTATCCTAAAGCTTTGAATAACTTATTTAGTCCTGCAATATTGCTTTCTTCTTTGAACTCGTTATGCCAGCTAGATATACACCCTAGGAGAGAGAATCGAGCGGTCTTTAAGGCGTCGGGTTCTAACTTCGCGAGTTGGACTTTACTAAGTATATATTCCTAGCTCTTCGAATTTCTTATGTTATGATACTCGTATGGTCTTAATAGAGCACCTGTACTTGGGTGAGCTCGAAGACATTGGCCGAGATGGCAGATTCTTACAATGAAATACTAGCAATCACTACGGTGAAAAATTGTTTACTATAGAATGGTACGCTAGGGGTTTACTATATAAGTGTAAACTAACCTTATATATACTAATAAATAAGGTTAAAGTAGTAGTTTACTTTTGTATAGTATTAATATAGTGTACTATACTATAGACGTATTAGTAGAGTAAATAAAGAAGTTTATAATAGACCTATTAGTAGAGTATATAAAGCAGTTTATAAAAGATACAATATAAGTGTTAGGTATAGTAATAATACTATTAGTTTTTTTATAGTATGCTTATATAAACTACTAGAACGTTATTACTTATCCTGTCCCTACGCTTAACCTGCCTAATTAATAGCCAATACCCGCCTAATTAACAGGACTAAAACGGCTTAATTATTAGCCTATACCCGCGTAATAATTAGCCTATACCTATATAATTATAAGGCTGTCCACTACGTCCCTTATTTATTTTTTAAAACCTATAGTATAAAATAAATTTAATAGGAATATAAGTAGTATAACTATCTAGTAATTAGTCTAAGTATAAATATACAATACTAGTGTAGTATACTATATAGATAATATGATTACCTAATAAATACTAGTATATTATGTAGTACTAGTATTAGTATAAAGAGCATAGTACTAAAAAGCTAGATATAGACCTATTATCTTACTTAACAATAGGTAGTAAGTCTTAGACTATCTGCGCTTATTAATAATATAGAGCTTATTACAAAGTTATAGTTAGGTATATTACCTCTATAGGCGCAAATCTAAAGATACTCCTTAACTATACTTAATTAAGCTACTTGTTATATACATAGTCCTATAGTCTTTGCTTATCTTAGTAGAACTAAGTCTTACCTTATTTAAACGTAAGCAGATAGATTCCTAATTTATATCTTAGGTATATCGCCCTTACAGGCGTAAATCTAGAGCTACTTACTAGAGTGATATAAAACCTAGTTAATAGAGTGTTAATATACCTAGTTTAGATATACTTGTAGTCTAACTGTGGTATTAATTAGTAGAACTCTATTACAGCCTATACTAGTTATTTCTTTAGATAAGTAATTAATCCTACTATAGACTTTAGTATATCAATAACTTACAAGTCTCCCTAGCACTCCTAATACTATTAACTTTATCTTTAGTAGATAGATAGTTACCTATCTAATAATATATCTATAGTTTTGTACTAGCTATTCTTATTACTATAGCATTCCTATTGCAGGAGGGATAACCACCAGATCACGGAGCATCTTGATCTAATTAATCCTAATTAATCCTAATTAATACCCCTGTATAACCCACTATCTAATCAACTCCTAGCTTACTACTAAGGGCCTAACAAAAGTAGGAGCTCTAGTAAGGAAGGTTTACTAATTATACACCTTCTAGTAAGGGTAGCTAAAGCTCTATATATATAAGTCTAATCGTAGTAGATATAATCTAATAATCTATCTCCTAAATTATTCCTAACCTTAGTAATCTAAATTTCTATAGTTATAAGCCTAGCTTACGCTTTACTAACTTATTAAAGATTATCCTATCTATTTAAGCGTACTACTTAACTTAATTACTAAGCTAGCAAACTGTATCTTTCTACACTATTTCTTAAGCAGAAGCTTACCTATTACTCTTCTACTATAAGCGACTAAATCCTAAAGGGGGATATCCTACTTACTAGATTAACTAATTAGCCCACCTAGTATATTTAATTTAGATACCATGCCCTAACTAAATAGATCTAGGTAGAGGTAGACCCTAATACTCTAGATACTAAAAACTACTTTAAGAATAGACCTATCAAGCCTAGTATGCTAATAGGTATTATAGTACCTAATATAACAAGCAAGTAGTATAAGCTCTAAATAGCTTAGTACCAAGCCTGCTTATTAGATTAGGTATTAAAGTTATTAGCAATCTAGAACCTTTTTATATAGGTTAACAATATAGTAGACTAAGGAAACCTTACCCTAGCCTATATAGGGCTTATTAATTAAGGAAGAGTAACCCTTTAAGCACTAATCTAAGGATATTAGTTTGCGAACTTTTGCTATCAAAGTACCAAAAAATTGGCTTGTGCGTTAGGACGCTAGACAGCAAAAGCTAGCTTGGCAAGGAACATTAAAACTTTTGAACAAACTTTGCCGCTAAAACTAGCAAAAGGACGCTAGATAGCAAAAGTACGCTAGATAGCAAAAGCTAGCTTAGTAAGGAATATTAAAACTTTTGCACAAACTTTGCCGCTAAAACTAGCAAAAGGACGCTAGATAGCAAAAGTACGCTAGATAGCAAAAGCTAGCTTAGCGAGGAACATTAAAACTTTTGCATAAACTTTGCTGCTAAAACTAGCAAAAGGACGCTAGATAGCAAAAGTACGCTAGACAGCAAAAGTACGCTAGATAGCAAAAGCTAGCTTAGCAAGGAATACTAAAACCTAGACGTAAACTTGGTTATTAAAACTAGGGAAAGCTATATAGTAGCTATTAACACTATAGTTTCCTATACTTATAGTAATTTAGCAATATCTATTTAATCCCTTAAGTAGCTAAAAATTATAGAAGAGGCGCGAAATTATAGATATATAAATACTATAATAGTTTTAATAGGGGATAATAGTAGTATAGTAAGTACTAGTAACTATAACAGGTAAAGCTAGTAATTATAGGGATCCTTAGGAATTTTCTACCTACACTGCGCCTAAAATGCCAGGCATAAGAGGACTAACAACCTACTAGGCATTTCCACGCTCTAAGGTAACCTAGAATAGACTAGTTAGCTATAGGGTATTTACTACTTACGCTGTTATATTAGGTAAACTAGGGACTTTCTAGCTAAGTAATTTCCTGCTATTAGAATTAAGTATTAGTTATATAAAATAGTATAGTTTACTAATAGGTGCTTTGCTATGTCCCTACGTTATATTAATAGCTAGGAGGCTACTAACTAAGAGTTAGGAATATCTATGTTATCTAATACTACCTTAAAGTTTCTCTACGTGTCTACTATAGGCAGAAGTAAATCTAGCAAGTTGTACTCTCTAAGTTCTCTACTATCTACTATTTCTAACAATAGCTCCCCTAGTAGCTATTCTTCTTGTAGATAGCTTAGCAATAATAGTTTAATTACCTTAGCTATGTCTTTAACCCTCTTATTACATCACGCAATTATTTTAATCTATTCTTATAAGACCTATAGGGGTCTTCTTTCTATAAAAGAGTTTAGTACGCTACCTCTTAGTAGAAGGGCAAAAATCCTAACCCTAAACCTATCCTTTAATATTTTCTATTATTTGCTATATTCTAGGTACTAGGACTAGGCTTAATAGCTTGTTAGATTGTCCTGCACTAATATAGTGTTGCTATTCTTGTCCTAATAGACCTTACTAAACAACTGCTCTCTTGCTACTATAGCAAGGCCCCTCCCTTACTAACCTATTAACTTTACTCTCTACTATAAGAGGCCTTCTAAATATTTATACTTCTTATATAGTGCTGCTATTACCTACTAGTGCTATATATCTCCTAAGATATTAGCTATTTTACTCTACTTTACTATAGCTAATAGCTAATAAAAGCTTGTAACCTTAATTCCTATAAGTATAAGGCTTGTTCCCTGCCCTACGCCACGTATCTAGGTAAGCTAGGTTGCTAGCATACTTTTATTACCTATAGCACATTCTATTATACTAGTATCTATTAGCCCTAGCACTTACACCCCTATATTTGCAAAGAGCCTCTTGCCCTCTTAATAAAGTTCTTGCTAGGTATCTAAGATAACGCGCTAATCCTATAAACAGTTAACTATAGCTACTATACTTGCCTAGTGTATTATTTTAG